ATCATAAACAAAAACGCTTCAAAGTAGATTAAATAATATTAAGGAATATGGGATTTATAGAGGATTTTATCCATAATCAAAATATGATGTCTATGTATTGTTAAAATACTGGCATGTATAGACAGTAATTATTGTATTACACACTTTAATCGTCCTGTTTAGTTATCTGGTTTAAAGAAATTATATTGAGAGCGAATTCTGGTTTATCAAGTAACTTGGGTACTAATTATTAAAATGATACAGTGATGTCATTTCAGCTCATCTTATATATTTCAATTTGCTAAATAAGACAACGTGGATTAGTAATGTAAAAATATTCATTTATACGAACTTATGTAATTTGCAAAGAAACTAGAATAATCATCTCTCACCTATTTAACTTAAATTATGTTCATCGTTATTAAAATTGTGATATTGTCAAAGAGTAATCTGTAATATTTTACATCATCTCTAATGCAAAAAATTATTGACAATCATCTAGACAAAGATAAGTAGATAATTTGCTTACTTATAATTTTATTCCTATACAGGTATTCCTCACTTGATCTTAAAAGAGAATGTGATTTGTTTGGCTTTTTCAGAAACAAGTGAACGGTTTAGACTTTTTAGCCTTGCGAATCATTCACAACAATTTAGAGTTTAAGTTGATCCTTGAGAAAAGTGAATTGTCTGTTTACGGCAGGACTGAATTTTAAAAAAATAGTAAGGGTAAACAACAGAGAATATTCAGATTGGGGTTTTTGTGGAGATTTTAGTAATTCAATAGTTGAGTCGATTAAGGCTAAACCACCATGGAAAGCCTGGAAGCATTAGACAACCGAAGGTCCTGGGTTCGGATCCCGCGAGTAGAATCATAGATGCGTACTGCTGAGGAGTCCCATGCTAGGACGAAACGGCCATCCAGTGCTTCCAGCTTTTCGATGGTCTAGCTTAAATCGACTGATGAATCCAGATAGAAAATATTCAGACGAAACGATCCATCGATTATCAATGAATCTCATATCAAATTAGATGAAAAAACAACAAAATGAATGGACAATACCCTGGCGGTGAAACAATGAATAGGTTAAATTCAAAGTGCGATCTCAAGTATAGGTCACTTTGAATTCTCAAAGTTAAATGGTACACCTGTTTTATGATGCTTAGTTCCCAATGATTCTGCAACTGGTATCCTTATATGACGAAAATTATCTTGAGATTGAACTAATTTTCATAAACCCTTGAACTTTATTTGAAAAATAAGTTATAAAAGATAACATTAGAACAGATAGATTATTTACATTGGTTATCGAAGCAGTTAAGAGTTAACCTCTGACTCTTTCTGAACAGAAAAATTAGGTTCAAAATTCTTAATTGAGATTATCTATGAGAATCTAAATAAGTTAGAACTAAATTGCTTACCGGTCATACTGAGATTATGTATTATATTTATTGTTACTGCCTAGCGGGTTACAAATTGTTGAACTACAAGGACTATTTCATCCTCTGAGATACATACTCTTGAAGCGTGTGAATGCCTGACTTTCTATTTTTCCAAGGTACCTGTTTTTTGTATCATTTAAATTGGTATAGGCAGTTGGAGTAAATATATGAAGGTGGTTTCCTATCCTTGCTTCGCGTTTTTAGCATCGTGCTACATTTGCTGGAACAGTTTTTACTTCATGAAATGCTTTGCTTAGAACTATCTTCAATCTCCGACTAATTTCATCTCCGATCTGACGAATTTCGATCATTGATAAGATGAAACCATGTTTCATTTCAGACTGATTAAATCCTACCTTTGTGTTATGGTTATTACTAAATTTCTTTATAACGGCTCTAGGGTACCTATGTTCTCAGATATATATTTTTGTTGCTGTATACTCCTCTTCGAGTTCCGTCAAGGACAGCTTTCTGAGATGTATTTCACTGAGAAGAAAGTAATGTACCACAATGAATTCATAGTATTTTGTAAACATTATCATTCTTGTAACATTTAAATCTGTAGAGGGAGTCATGGTATTGAATTATGTTTTCTACTTGATTCTAACCATGACTAAAGGAAACATAGCTAACCCGTTTTATAGCATCGGTATGTACTTTAGTTATAATTTCATTAAGACTTTAACGTACCAGTATATACCCTAACATGCCGAAGAGAATCAACTGCTGTATCTCTGTGAAAGTCAAACAACACTGACTTTGTTATTATTAGTCAGTCAGCCAGCCACAAAGTACGACCAGGCACATATATGCATTGGTCCAAGTTGCCATATATCATTAGCACAACAAGATGAACACCAAATTTATGGAAGTAGTTACTTCAATGGTGGTAATATAAAAAAGAAAGATTGTGCATAAGAATATATTACAGGAGGAAAGAATTAATTCGTAGAAAGAAAGATATAAAGTAATTTTAATCTCACGGTTTAAGGGAAGACAAAGAGTGTATACACCTACGCCATTGTGATCGATTTTGAGCCATGTTATCCAGTCTCCAACTATTAATTACGATAGTTACGCGGACCCCAACCAAGTAGTCTGCATCTACCAACATGGCTCAGACTACAAGTTAGTGACTTCAAGCACTGATGCCACGTTTTGGTTTGACCGCCCCTAACTTTCTCCCAACCATATCTGTCAATGGAAACTTACAACCTCATCAACTGACTTACCGTCATTCCCTAATACCCTGCGTCCAACCTCACTGTTACTTACCCGGTGATCCCAGCAGATGCGAGCAATATTTCTAAGACATATGTGATCAAATACTGGCAACTTACGAGTATCCCCTACTCCTAATAGCCACGTTTCGCAGCCGTAAAGTAGAATAGAACGAACTGCCACGCAGTGGGGAGTTAAAATTAATTGTATGCATAATTTAGATTCTTTATACTATTCTTAGTCAATTTACTTGACTCATTATAGATAACCATTTCAATTGTCCCAATACAATTTCTTCTTGTCAGAATGGGGATTTGTGGAGATTGTAGTAATTTTAATAGTTGATTTCATGAGTGGTGGTCTAGCTTAGCTCAACTCTTGAATTCAACAATTTCTTATCTTAATAATGTTGTATATTGGTTGTGATAATAATAATAATAATCTTTAAATTATTGAAATCCGATCCTGTAGATTTATTACATGTATTATCGGTAGGTTTATCTACTTATGATTATTTTCAGAGGTTTTTTCATGTCACTCTTTAAGATGTTCAACCTCGTGTTGTGCACTATAATATATAGCTTTATCTTCTTCGTATTCATGTTAAACTATTAGTGGTTACATAGTTTTTTGGTTATTTTGAGTGAAAAAGTATTAACATTAACAATGCACGGTAAGCAGAGATGGGATCCAGGACGCGCGTTTCGTCCTATTCAGGGCTTTTCAGATGGATACGCCTGCATCCCAGTTGATGTTCACTTCGGGACTCGAACCCGGTACCGTTCACTTCAAATACCAACGTGTTATCTACTTAACTAGAGTCCAAATAACCATTTGCTTGCACAATGAGATGAAGTTTAATTTGGCTTTGCATTGGTTGTTTGAATCTTTCAGTTGATGCTTAGGACTGCAATCTATCTTTGCTCCCAATGCTTGTGACTTAAGGTAATATAACGAGGCGATCAGCACAGAATGCACAAATGCGAATAAGAGACCGATCAATTGCAGTCCTAAGTGTCAATGAGAAAACTTGAACAACCAATACGAAAATGAATTAACAATACACTTTTAAGAAAACCGCTATCAAATTATTAAGGTTAAGATTCTAACATGACAAATAAAATCACAATGAGTTATAATCTGTTTTTATTATGACAAGAGTAATAATAAACATTAAAATAATAGCAATTCTGTGGACGTAAATAAACATATTTACTAACCAATACGATTAGTATAGACAACAAAGGCTGATTATCAATAACATAGAATGTTTTTCTTTTTAAACGGGTGAGATAAATAGGTCATACATTTTTGTCTGATATCACATAGAGGAGACCAATTCTGTCAGTAGTCAGATCAATACGCATATACATATACTAAAATTGGTCTGATAAAAACAAGCTAAAATAGGATTTGTATTTTTTTAAAAAAAAACAAGTCTATCTAAAGGATGGAACAGACCTTTAAGTAATAAGTGTTATGAGAAATGACTCATTTGAAGATGGGATTACACTAGTGTTTAAGTTTGCGTATATTTTTGGGTTTCAAAATAGATGCAAAACTTGACAATTAAAGTGCTTGATGATTTTTTTTGCTACGTTTATGAACCAGTAACAAACGATGATTCGGATGATCTGATAGAATGATACATGTCAGATTCTTCCAAGTACAGAATATCTAGGTAAAAGATTCTCTCATTACGATATATGAATAAATCAATAAATAAAAAAAATATTAGTGTAACTTCCTAATGAAGTCAATAAAAAAGATGGGTTACTTTCGTTAAATACGGATTTAGATGAGCATCCGCCCAAATTTGAACAGCATGATGGAAACAGCACAGAGTATATGGAAGACATTGAATATAAAAGTCTTTATCATATTCCTCAGAAGTTCGGACTAGTTTCCCAGACAAAATGTTGGAAGTATTTAAATTTCAATCAGAGATTATTCAAAAACAATTTCTACATTTATATATCGACTTCACTGGGCATTTTCGTAAATAGGGATTAATGAAGAGAGCAGATAGTTTTCGTCCCGAAATGAAATGAGCTGGAGAGAACACTCGACAACTCTTCCCCGTTGAACTAGTGTTCATCAACACACAAATACAGCCTTCAACTTTTGAGAGGAACATGATAATATCAATAGATCTCGACCTATTAATGCACACAACTTAAAATCACAACCATCAATATATTTTTAGGAAGTAAGGACTGTGCTAGTACTTTGTTAATTCTTTCCGGAAGACAAATTTTTATGTATCTTGCTGAATAGCAGGTCGTTATGTAACTAACTTAAATCCAGTCAGTAAATCAACCGAAAATAGTAAGTTGTTTAAATTCAGTGAAACTGGATTTAGCAAATTTTATGTAGATCGAGTAACAACAGTAGGATTTGATTAGGTTTTGCACATTCCCGTTAGATGTCATAAGCAACTGATTACCAGTAAATAAGTTGGATCACAAATAATGATCATTTTCATACTTATTTACAATACTAATGTTAACGAGGAAGTTCATGAGAAGGGACAAATAAGAGGATTTAACGAAGATTGTAACTGAACTACTGCATGTGTAATATCTGACACCCACTTGTCTAGTCTAAATACTTTCCAAGCATAATATTAACAGCCGAAACTCAAATTAATCGTTGTCATACTGGATAAATTTGATAGGAATGAAAGATCACGAGTAGTAATCTGAAGAGCGAATACTGATTGCGAATTAGTTGTTCAAATCGTATAAAATACTGGGGTACGAGATGTGTGCTTTAAAATGTTTAGTCATTGACCCAATTAACCTCGAAAGTCATACAGATTCTGTGAAATCAATTTAGCTTTTTTCGTTGAGGTTAAGAGAGCCGAACGACCATTGGAAACCAAAAAGTGCTAGACACATATGTCATCCTGTCACAATTTTTAGAGTGCACTGGTTTCAAAGTGAACACGACACGAGTCTGCATTGGACAGTAATGGAGCTAAGTTTTGAGTAACGCCTTTGACTAAGGTCTCCACAATCCAATGTATGTTAGAGACACAATAAAGAGAGCTCGCAGGACGAGGTTTCGGACACATGGGACGTCAAAGATGGAAATAAATACTAAATCACAAAATGTTAAGTAGCAACATCTTATAATAACCCTTAACTCACGCAAAATATACCACCCTCATTATCATGAAGTGCCTTGGATAATTAACCCAACGCCACGTCAGATTGCTACATCCGAAACACTACTACGTTCCGACCTATACCACCAACCAACCATACAGAACATTTAACCCTCCAAACGACGGAATAAATGAAAACCGCAACTCTAACGTCGGATACTCGGATGAAAAATACTCGTTCACTGTCACTATTATTGCAGCTCCCAACACTAGGTCTAGGAAGAAAAAATATGCAATTTACTGGGATGTAAAAAAATATATTTCAAGTAGTAGTCAAGTAACATTAAAATCCGCCATCATCAGAGTGCGCATCTACAGTATCTGCAGCAACTTCTTCGTAATCTCTTTCTAGAGCAGCCAGGTCTTCGCGAGCTTCTGAAAACTCTCCTTCCTCCATACCTTCACCAACGTACCAATGAACAAATGCGCGTTTCGCGTACATGAGATCAAACTTGCGGTTTAAACGAGCCCATGCCTCTGAAATCGCAGTAGTATTGCTAAGCATGCACACTGCGCGCTGTACCTTGGCCAAATCTCCTCCAGGAACAACAGTGGGTGGTTGATAGTTAATTCCAACTTTAAAACCGGTGGGACACCAATCAACAAACTGAATTGATCTTCTAGTTTTGATATTTGCGATTGCTGCGTTTACGTCTTTCGGAACAACGTCGCCTCGGTATAACAAGCAACAAGCCATGTATTTTCCATTTCTTGGGTCACACTTGACCATTTGATTAGCAGGTTCAAAACATGAATTGGTAATTTCGGAAACACTCAGTTGTTCATGGAATGCCTTTTCTGCTGATATAATGGGTGCATATGTTGTTAATGGGAAATGGATACGGGGATAAGGAACCAAATTGGTTTGAAACTCGTTTAAATCCACGTTCAAAGCACCACTAAATCGAAGAGAAGCAGTAATGGAGCTAACAATTTGTCCAATTAATCGGTTAAGATTGCTGTATGTTGGTCGATCAATGGTTAAATTTCGTCGACATATCTCATAAATAGCTTCATTATCAACCATAAAGGCACAATCTGAGTGTTCTAACGTTGTATGTGTAGTAAGAATAGAGTTGTAGGGTTCAACAACAGCTGTTGATATATGAGGGGCTGGATATACAGCAAACTCCAACTTAGCTTTTTTACCGAAATCGACGGAAAGACGTTCCATTAATAAAGATGTAAAACCAGATCCCGTCCCTCCACCAAATGAATGGAACACTAAGAAACCTTGGAGTCCTGTGCACCTTTCAGATAATTTCCGAATACGATCTAGAACTTCATCAACCAACTCTTTACCAACTGTGTAGTGACCACGGGCATAATTATTAGCAGCATCTTCCTTCCCGCTTATCATTTGTTCTGGATGGAACAACTGCTTATAAGAGCCAGTCCGCAGTCTGTCAATAACTGAAGGTTCCAAGTCTACGAAAACAGCACGTGGGACGTAACGACCGTAGCTAGTCTCGCTGAAGAACGTACTGAAAGAATCGTTATCGTTTTTAATAGTTGAGTCACTAGGGACCTTGCCATCAGGTTGTATTCCATGTTCGAGACAATAGAGCTCCCAACAGGAATCGCCCATCTGGGTTCCAGCTTGACCAACATGTAGACTGATACATTCGCGCTAAGAGAGGAATATATAAGTATAGAGATAAACACATTATAAAATAAACGTATGCAAGGAACTATTTATCTTGATATAAAACATTGTAAACTGTAAGTAATTGATCTTTTGTGACGTGGTCTATGTAGTCGGTAATGAAGGCTGATACAATATTAATGTGAAACAACGTAACAAGCACTAATCCCATTTGCTTACCCTAGTTACTAAGATTCGGATAAAACGTTAGTTGCATGACTCAATTTTATACTCGATGTCAAGAAACCAAACTCCACGCTCCAACAACCGTAATGTAGCTTAAATATGTCACGGAATTTCAAGTGAGACAACTAAACTGGGTCTCGTGTATACTGATGTGGTAAAATAAAATCTAATTTAGTTATGGAGATCACCACGCTGCTTACCATAATTAAATTGAACACAAAAACGTTTTATGTAATATATCCACTCAATTCCTACATGATACTACTAAATGACTCACCATGATTGAAAGCAACCGAACCAAAAGTTTCTCTCGTTCAACTGTAATGTAGGCCTTAGTTCATGTATTTAACTGAATAATATGAAAAAACAAAGCTCCCCGATTGGTCATCATTGACAATCACTCAAGTTTTAAGGGCAGACAGACCCGATCGATTAACATACAAAATTCAACACCCCTACCTAGTCTTAATTTCGATTGGTAAGCATCACAAAGCAAAACAGTTCATGGTCTGATCTATAACTTGACCTCTTGAAAATGTTTACAAAACAACATGTATGATGAGATTTCATTGTGGTTAGCACACAAAAAATTTAATAACGTTGACCTTGCAGAGGAATAAATTTTTTCAATGTGAAGCCAAATCACACAAGCAGTCTTTTGTAACAATTTAATGATCGTTTTTTTTAACAAAGTGATTAGTTTCTCAGAGCACAGAATCTAAGTATTTTAGTCTAATGATTAAATAGAAAGACCACTTCTATGGAAAATTTAAAGTCTAGTTATATCTAAAAAAATATTCTGATTAAAAGCAAAGATGGATAGTGGCCAGCAGTGGAATCCAGGACGAGCGTTTCGTCCCATTTGGGACTCATCAGCTAGATGTACCTGCGTCTCAGAGTCGGTGTTCTCTGGGGCTTGAACCCAGTATCCTGAGGGAACAAATGGCGTATGAACCAATCGTTGGACACCGGCTACCATGGGACTTCATCTCCTTAAGATGCTCCACCGTCTTGTGGATCAGACCATTAGGTCGAAGGCTCCGGGTGTGGCCCCCTAAGATAACCACCTGCTTCGGTTTGGGCACCCGGGCAATATTACAGCCCTCACACAAATCAAATGAGATTTGTGTGGCGCATATGTGTCTGGTGCTCCCTTGAACCAATATCTATGTGCCATACCAAATGTTATTTGTCTTCATGATGCATTTGTTTCCTGTGGAGAACTTGTTCGATGTGAAGTACGAGTCCTAAATGAGATCGAACTTGATTACAATTCGGATGATTTCATTTCAACGGTTGTTTATTCTTATCATGAAGTCATTCCTAACAGATCCTCTAGTCAATGTGTGAAACATGTTGTAAATACCCATAAATGCTCTGGTACGGTCGAGAGTGGGGAGAGTCAGCTCTCTCAAAATGCTCCCACATGGCCACACATATACAACCACTGACAGGGAAATCCTACTTCACTGCCTTCGTAAGAGAGGATAGTGTTGGAAAACCTATGGTTCAAATTCCAGATATCAGTACACAGTCAGTCAGCTACAACGTAGGACCAGGCACATATGTGCATCGGTCCAGGTTGCCATACCGCATCAGCACAACAAGATGAACACCGGATTCATAGCAGTGGTTATGTCAAAGGTGGTAATATATAAGAGAAAGATTGCATATAGAGATATAGTACAAGAAGAAAGAATTGGTTCGTAGAAAGAAAGATATGAAGCGATTTTAATCTCTTAGTTTAAGGGAAGACAGAGAGTGTATACACCGACGCCATTGTGATCGATTCTGAGCCATGTCACCAAGAGTCTCCAGCCATTGGTTACGATAGTCACGCGGACCCCAACCAAGTAGTCTGCATCTACCAACATGGCTCAGACTACAAGTTAGTGACTTCAAGCACTGATGCCACGTTTTGGTTTGGCCGCCCCTAACTTTCTTCCAACCATTTCCAATACCGGATAGCATTGCACGCCGCGGTAATCGGTGTTCAGGCATACGTAACATGTGGCCCAACCATATCAGTCGATAAAGATTCATAACCTCATCAACTGATTTGCCATCATTTCCTAATACCCTGCGTCTAACCTCACTATTAATTACCCGGTGATCCCAGCAGACACCAGCAATATTTCTAAGGCATCTGTGGTCAAATACTAGTAGCTTACGAGTGTCTTCTATTCTTAATGGGCATGTTTCGCTGCCGTAAATTAAAACAGAACGGACTGCCGCGCAGTATACTCGTCCTTTTATTGATAGACGGATATCTCGCCTTCGCCACAGGTGACGCAAGTTGGCAAAAGCCAATCGAGCTTTTCGAATCCGTGCTGAGATTTCGTCCGATACCAACCCATTAGGGCTGACCAGACTTCCGAGATAAGTGAAGTTGTCAACGCGTTCGACTACTTCACTCCCTATCCTTAGTTCAGGTGTTAACGCAGACCAGTCCTGAAGCAACAACTTGCATTTAGAGGGAGAGAAGCGCATTCCAAACATCCTGGCATTGTTGCTCAGTGCTACCAGAAGACTCTGCATTTTGTCAGCGTCTTCACCAAACAGGACTATGTCATCTGCGTATTCTAAGTCGATAAGTGGACATCCTGGTAGGAGATCAATACCCGAGAACTCAGTCGACGAGAAAGTTATTTCCATCAGTAAATCTATGATGAAGTTAAACAAAAATGGGGAAAGTGGAGAGCCTTGACGGACACCACTTGAGGTTGCAAAAGTAGATGACAGTTCGCCATAAGCTCTGACTCGACTAGTAGTGTTCGAGTAAAGAGCCTTAACAAGGTTTATGTACTTCTGGGGTACGCCTTTCAATGACAGACACTGCCACAGAATCTCGCGGTCTACCGAGTCAAATGCTGCTTTTAAGTCGAGAAAGACCACCATTGTCGGACGCCGATAAGTATGCCTGTGTTCTAGAATCTGACGTATGGTGAATATGTGGTCGATGCAGCCACGACCAGGTCTGTAGCCAGCTTGGTTCTCTCGTGTTTGCAGTTCACGGGTCTTAGTTAGGCGTCTGATAATTATCGGGGCTAGTATTTTAGATATTATATTAGTTAAACTAATGCTTCTATGGTTGTCACAAGATGATTTTGACCCTTTCTTATATATTGGGACGATAAGTGATTGTGACCAGTTAGATGGGATAACGTCTAACTCCCAGATCTTAGCTAAAATATTAGTCAACCTAATCGCTAAAATTGGACCACCATCCTTAAAGACCTCCGGAGCCAGTCCATCTGTACCAGCTGCCCTTCGTCGTTTGAGACTAACTATAGCCTTTTGAACTTCAGCAAGAGTTGGGAGACCTACTTCAATGTTCTATTCACGCTGTCTGGGAATGGAGGGTAGTTGTAGAGTCGCTGAAGGCCGGCTGAACTGTTCCCTAAAATGTTCCGCCCATCGTTCTAAACGTCTGGACTGGGAGCAGATGAGAGTATCGTCTTTTTCCGAAATAATCTCACTTACACTTGATTTATTAGTTCCAGTTTCTTTTATTAGTCTGTAAAGCTGTTTTGTGTTCCCTATAGTCGCCGCCTTTTCCATCTCTTTTGCTTTCGTTGCCCACCACTGCTCACGGTCGTTTCTTAGACTTTTTCTTAACCTAGATCTGATTTGTTGTCGCTCTTCATCATGTTCGGAACCTGATGGGACGAGTTTGCGAGAATCCATCAGTGTGATAGACTTTGAAGAAAACCACTGGTTCTTTGTAACTCTGTGGTTTAAGTCACTAATAGATTTCATTGCTGTTTCCACAACTGTTTGTATATCTTTCCAAGCAACATCTGGGTCAGCCTCGTTTTCAGAACTACCTAAGTGTGACCTCAGTTGTTCCTGGAACCTACTTTTGGTTTTCTCGTTACTCAACTCAGTTCTAATGGGTCTTTTTAATGTGGCTTTTTTGCGTCCAGTGAGGCGCAAGCAGATGCGTGCCTGTATTAGGGCATGGTCGGAGTCCAAGCAGGTACTCCAGAATGAGCGACAATCTTCTACCGACCCTCTCCAACGATGACTGATGGCAATATGGTCTATTTGAGACCATCGTTGGTTTGGTGTAGGGGGTCGCCATGTTAGACGATGTCTTTCCTTATGCTTAAAATTTGTGTTTGCTAAAAACAAACGATTGTCTGAGCATAGTTGCAGCAGACGCTCACCATTATCTGTTCGCTGTACCGGTATACTAAAATATCCACCTAAATGCCTTTCTGTTTGGTTTAAACTACCTATCTGGGCATTAAAATCACCTGCTACGAGTACTATGTCTAAACGTTTAGCTTTCTGAAGAAGTTCAAATAGCTTTCTGTAAAATTCATCTTTCGTTTCATCTGAGCTGCAGTCGGTGGGAGCGTAGGCAGAAACGACAAAAATGCAACGACGTGCGTCCCTATCCTTCCGAGTTCTTACGGAGCCGTTTAGCCGAACAGCACATAGACGACTGTTGACGCGGATCCACTCTAGCAGTGCTTGTTCCGCCCTCATGCTTAGTGCTATGCCTACACCTGCCAGTCCACGAGAACTGGCCATCGGGTCACCAGATATATGGAGGGTGTATCTCGTTGGCTCTCCGTTTTGCCGAGGTGAGGTCAAGTGAATGACCACACTGGAGTCCTGTATGCGTGTTTCGGAGACACAGCATACATCAATGGAAAGAGACTCTAGGGTTTTAGCCAAGGAAGCCTGCTGACCGATTTGACATAGGGTGCGTACGTTGAAGGCTCCAATGTGTAGTGTGGAGCGAGGTTTTAGTAGACCTGGGACAGAGTTTTGAGCACTAGAATCGTTGGCTATGGTGACACTTGAGGAGGAAGCCGAAAGAGGAAGTTAAGAGTTGAAATTCGATGTAGGAGGAATAATAGGAATTGAAGAGGGAGGTTGATTATGAATACAGTGGTCTTGGGTGCTGTTAGAGGTATGAGGGCGGTTATCACTTCCCGGTTGCCCACACCGAGGAAGGGTACTTCTGGAGGTACCTGAAAAAGAAATTGGATTAGAGGCGGTCTCAGTGACCGGAGAGCGTGACCTCGGTGCCAAAGGGATAACTGCTTGAAGCCGGTCGCGCAAGGCCTTTTCGTGGGAGGTTTTTGACGTGTTAGCTCTGCTCTTCAAAGGGCCTTACCGCCGGAGACGGAAATCCGTGAGGTAAGGTGAGGTGTGACATTTTTAGGGTTGATCTTTTCGAACCCCACCCCTCCTTGTGGGAAGGCAGCATCGCTGCAGATGCTGGTAGTCCGAGGGAAACACCTTACTGCTGTCACAACGCTCTACAATCAGCAGTACGACTTCGCCCTCAAACCTTGAGTTGCTGCTTTTAGTGTTAAATAAACAAATAAAACACAAAAACAACACATCAATTGCTCATCACAATATCCACATCGACCAACACAAAAACACTAAAGTCAGACATCCAAGTGACGGAGAACAACATCAATTCTCGAGTCAGTGGAAACCGCGAATGTATGGACAATTCATCATGAAACTAATATCAACTATTCAACATTCACACAACAACACACCTAGTTCATGCCTATCAACATACATCACACAAACACCCGTCAACTCACCTGAAACTCATCAACAAATTATTCTTCTCGCCGCCACCCACACACGACCAATCCATTCTATTCCGCACACAAAAACTATACTCCCATCTATTCAATCCACTCTCTCTCTCTCCTTCTCACTCTCTCTCTCTCTCTCACTCTCTCGCCATCATCAAACCAACACCACCGTCGCCGCTCCTACAAAATAAACAAATAAAACACAAAAACAACACATCAATTGCTCATCACAATATCCACATCGACCAACACAAAAACACTAAAGTCAGACATCCAAGTGACGGAGAACAACATCAATTCTCGAGTCAGTGGAAACCGCGAATGTATGGACAATTCATCATGAAACTAATATCAACTATTCAACATTCACACAACAACACACCTCGTTGATGCCTATCAACATACATCACACAAACACCCGTCAACTCACCTGAAACTCATCAACAAATTATTCTTCTCGCCGCCACCCACACACGACCAATCCATTCTATTCCGCACACAAAAACTATACTCCCATCTATTCAATCCACTCTCTCTCTCTCTCTCACTCTCTCGCCATCATCAAACCAACACCACCGTCGCCGCTCCTACAAAATAAACAAATAAAACACAAAAACAACACATCAATTGCTCATCACAATATCCACATCGACCAACACAAAAACACTAAAGTCAGACATCCAAGTGACGGAGAACAACATCAATTCTCGAGTCAGTGGAAACCGCGAATGTATGGACAATTCATCATGAAACTAATATCAACTATTCAACATTCACACAACAACACACCTCGTTGATGCCTATCAACATACATCACACAAACACCCGTCAACTCACCTGAAACTCATCAACAAATCATTCTTCTCGCCGCCACCCACACACGACCAATCCATTCTATTCCGCACACAAAAACTATACTCCCATCTATTCAATCCACTCTCTCTCTCTCCTTCTCACTCTCTCGCCATCATCAAACCAACACCACCGTCGCCGCTCATACAAAATAAACAAATAAAACACAAAAACAACACATCAATTGCTCATCACAATATCCACATCGACCAACACAAAAACACTAAAGTCAGACATCCAAGTGACGGAGAACAACATCAATTCTCGAGTCAGTGGAAACCGCGAATGTATGGACAATTCATCATGAAACTAATATCAACTATTCAACATTCACACAACAACACACCTAGTTCATGCCTATCAACATACATCACACAAACACCCGTCAACTCACCTGAAACTCATCAACAAATTATTCTTCTCGCCGCCACCCACACACGACCAATCCATTCTATTCCGCACACAAAAACTATACTCCCATCTATTCAATCCACTCTCTCTCTCCTTCTCACTCTATCTCTCTCTCTCTCACTCTCTCGCCATCATCAAACCAACACCACCGTCGCCGCTCCTACAAAATAAACAAATAAAACACAAAAACAACACATCAATCGCTCATCACAATATCCACATCGACCAACACAAAAACACTAAAGTCAGACATCCAAGTGACGGAGAACAACATCAATTCTCGAGTCAGTGGAAACCGCGAATGTATGGACAATTCATCATGAAACTAATATCAACTATTCAACATTCACACAACAACACACCTAGTTCATGCCTATCAACATACATCACACAAACACCCGTCAACTCACCTGAAACTCATCAACAAATTATTCTTCTCGCCGCCACCCACACACGACCAATCCATTCTATTCCGCACACAAAAACTATACTCCCATCTATTCAATCCACTCTCTCTCTCTCTCTCACTCTCTCGCCATCATCAAACCAACACCACCGTCGCCGCTCCTACAAAATAAACAAATAAAACACAAAAACAACACATCAATTGCTCATCACAATATCCACATCGACCAACACAAAAACACTAAAGTCAGACATCCAAGTGACGGAGAACAACATCAATTCTCGAGTCAGTGGAAACCGCGAATGTATGGACAATTCATCATGAAACTAATATCAACTATTCAACATTCACACAACAACACACCTAGTTCATGCCTATCAACATACATCACACAAACACCCGTCAACTCACCTGAAACTCATCAACAAATCATTCTTCTCGCCGCCACCCACACACGACCAATCCATTCTATTCCGCACACAAAAACTATACTCCCATCTATTCAATCCACTCTCTCTCTCTCCTTCTCACTCTCTCGCCATCATCAAACCAACACCACCGTCGCCGCTCCTACAAAATAAACAAATAAAACACAAAAACAACACATCAATCGCTCATCACAATATCCACATCGACCAACACAAAAACACTAAAGTCAGACATCCAAGTGACGGAGAACAACATCAATTCTCGAGTCAGTGGAAACCGCGAATGTATGGACAATTCATCATGAAACTAATATCAACTATTCAACATTCACACAACAACACACCTAGTTCATGCCTATCAACATACATCACACAAACACCCGTCAACTCACCTGAAACTCATCAACAAATCATTCTTCTCGCCGCCACCCACACACGACCAATCCATTCTATTCCGCACACAAAAACTATACTCCCATCTATTCAATCCACTCTCTCTCTCTCTCTCACTCTCTCGCCATCATCAAACCAACACCACCGTCGCCGCTCCTACAAAATAAACAAATAAAACACAAAAACAACACATCAATTGCTCATCACAATATCCACATCGACCAACACAAAAACACTAAAGTCAGACATCCAAGTGACGGAGAACAACATCAATTATCGAGTCAGTGGAAACCGCGAATGTATGGACAATTCATCATGAAACTAATATCAACTATTCAACATTCACACAACAACACACCTAGTTCATGCCTATCAACATACATCACACAAACACCCGTCAACTCACCTGAAACTCATCAACAAATCATTCTTCTCGCCGCCACCCACACACGACCAATCCATTCTATTCCGCACACAAAAACTATACTCCCATCTATTCAATCCACTCTCTCTCTCTCCTCTCACTCTCTCGCCATCATCAAACCAACACCACCGTCGCCGCTCCTACAAAATAAACAAATAAAACACAAAAACAACACATCAATTGCTCATCACAATATCCACATCGACCAACACAAAAACACTAAAGTCAGACATCCAAGTGACGGAGAACAACATCAATTCTCGAGTCAGTGGAAACCGCGAATGTATGGACAATTCATCATGAAACTAATATCAACTATTCAACATTCACACAACAACACACCTAGTTCATGCCTATCAACATACATCACACAAACACCCGTCAACTCACCTGAAACTCATCAACAAATCATTCTTCTCGCCGCCACCCACACACGACCAATCCATTCTATTCCGCACACAAAAACTATACTCCCATCTATTCAATCCACTCTCTCTCTCTCTCTCTCTCTCTCACTCTCTCGCCATCATCAAACCAACACCACCGTCGCCGCTCCTACAAAATAAACAAATAAAACACAAAAACAACACATCAATTGCTCATCACAATATCCACATCGACCAACACAAAAACACTAAAGTCAGACATCCAAGTGACGGAGAACAACATCAATTCTCGAGTCAGTGGAAACCGCGAATGTATGGACAATTCATCATGAAACTAATATCAACTATTCAACATTCACACAACAACACACCTAGTTCATGCCTATCAACATACATCACACAAACACCCGTCAACTCACCTGAAACTCATCAACAAATCATTCTTCTCGCCGCCACCCACACACGACCAATCCATTCTATTCCGCACACAAAAACTATACTCCCATCTATTCAATCCACTCTCTCTCTCTCTCTCACTCTCTCGCCATCATCAAACCAACACCACCGTCGCCGCTCCTACAAAATAAACAAATAAAACACAAAAACAACACATCAATCGCTCATCACAATATCCACATCGACCAACACAAAAACACTAAAGTCAGACATCCAAGTGACGGAGAACAACATCAATTCTCGAGTCAGTGGAAACCGCGAATGTATGGACAATTCATCATGAAACTAATATCAACTATTCAACATTCACACAACAACACACCTAGTTCATGCCTATCAACATACATCACACAAACACCCGTCAACTCACCTGAAACTCATCAACAAATTATTCTTCTCGCCGCCACCCACACACGACCAATCCATTCTATTCCGCACACAAAAACTATACTCCCATCTATTCAATCCACTCTCTCTCTCTCCTTCTCACTCTCTCGCCATCATCAAACCAACACCACCGTCGCCGCTCCTACAAAATAAACAAATAAAACACAAAAACAACACATCAATTGCTCATCACAATATCCACATCGACCAACACAAAAACACTAAAGTCAGACATCCAAGTGACGGAGAACAACATCAATTCTCGAGTCAGTGGAAACCGCGAATGTATGGACAATTCATCATGAAACTAATATCAACTATTCAACATTCACACAACAACACACCTAGTTCATGCCTATCAACATACATCACACAAACACCCGTCAACTCACCTGAAACTCATCAACAAATTATTCTTCTCGCCGCCACCCACACACGACCAATCCATTCTATTCCGCACACAAAAACTATACTCCCATCTATTCAATCCACTCTCTCTCTCCTTCTCACTCTCTCTCTCTCTCTCACTCTCTCGCCATCATCAAACCAACACCACCGTCGCCGCTCCTACAAAATAAACAAATAAAACACAAAAACAACACATCAATTGCTCATCACAATATCCACATCGACCAACACAAAAACACTAAAGTCAGACATCCAAGTGACGGAGAACAACATCAATTCTCGAGTCAGTGGAAACCGCGAATGTATGGACAATTCATCATGAAACTAATATCAACTATTCAACATTCACACAACAACACACCTAGTTGATGCCTATCAACATACATCACACAAACACCCGTCAACTCACCTGAAACTCATCAACAAATCATTCTTCTCGCCGCCACCCACACACGACCAATCCATTCTATTCCGCACACAAAAACTATACTCCCATCTATTCAATCCACTCTCTCTCTCTCCTTCTCACTCTCTCGCCATCATCAAACCAACACCACCGTCGCCGCTCCTACAAAATAAACAAATAAAACACAAAAACAACACATCAATTGCTCATCACAATATCCACATCGACCAACACAAAAACACTAAAGTCAGACATCCAAGTGACGGAGAACAACATCAATTATCGAGTCAGTGGAAACCGCGAATGTATGGACAATTCATCATGAAACTAATATCAACTATTCAACATTCACACAACAACACACCTCGTTGATGCCTATCAACATACATCACACAAACACCCGTCAACTCACCTGAAACTCATCAACAAATTATTCTTCTCGCCGCCACCCACACACGACCAATCCATTCTATTCCGCACACAAAAACTATACTCCCATCTATTCAATCCACTCTCTCTCTCTCCTTCTCACTCTCTCGCCATCATCAAACCAACACCACCGTCGCCGCTCCTACAAAATAAACAAATAAAACACAAAAACAACACATCAATTGCTCATCACAATATCCACATCGACCAACACAAAAACACTAAAGTCAGACATCCAAGTGACGGAGAACAACATCAATTCTCGAGTCAGTGGAAACCGCGAATGTATGGACAATTCATCATGAAACTAATATCAACTATTCAACATTCACACAACAACACACCTAGTTCATGCCTATCAACATACATCACACAAACACCCGTCAACTCACCTGAAACTCATCAACAAATCATTCTTCTCGCCGCCACCCACACACGACCAATCCATTCTATTCCGCACACAAAAACTATACTCCCATCTATTCAATCCACTCTCTCTCTCTCCTTCTCACTCTCTCGCCATCATCAAACCAACACCACCGTCGCCGCTCCTACAAAATAAACAAATAAAACACAAAAACAACACATCAATTGCTCATCACAATATCCACATCGACCAACACAAAAACACTAAAGTCAGACATCCAAGTGACGGAGAACAACATCAATTCTCGAGTCAGTGGAAACCGCGAATGTATGGACAATTCATCATGAAACTAATATCAACTATTCAACATTCACACAACAACACACCTAGTTGATGCCTATCAACATACATCACACAAACACCCGTCAACTCACCTGAAACTCATCAACAAATCATTCTTCTCGCCGCCACCCACACACGACCAATCCATTCTATTCCGCACACAAAAACTATACTCCCATCTATTCAATCCACTCTCTCTCTCCTTCTCACTCTCTCTCTCTCTCACTCTCTCGCCATCATCAAACCAACACCACCGTCGCCGCTCCTACAAAATAAACAAATAAAACACAAAAACAACACATCAATTGCTCATCACAATATCCACATCGACCAACACAAAAACACTAAAGTCAGACATCCAAGTGACGGAGAACAACATCAATTCTCGAGTCAGTGGAAACCGCGAATGTATGGACAATTCATCATGAAACTAATATCAACTATTCAACATTCACACAACAACACACCTCGTTGATGCCTATCAACATACATCACACAAACACCCGTCAACTCACCTGAAACTCATCAACAAATTATTCTTCTCGCCGCCACCCACACACGACCAATCCATTCTATTCCGCACACAAAAACTATACTCCCAT